GGCAGGCTTGGCTCCGTCTGGAGGCTCCGAGGGAGAGTCTGTCCTGTCCTCTCTCCTGGCTCCCGGGGTGGCCAGCCTTCCCTGGCGTTCCTGTGCTTCCAGATGCAGCGCTCCCGTCTACGCCTCCACCAATGCAGGGCGTCTCCCTGTGGGTGTCTGTGTCTGAACCGTCCTCTTTTAAGGAGGCCAAGGGTTGGGGGCCCACCCTCACCCAGTATCACCTCATCTTGACTGCCTGCAAAATCTTGACCCCTCTCTCCAAGGAACCAGAGAGTTAAGGCATCACCATATCTTTTTGGTGACAAAATTCTGCCCTCAACACTCTCCAAGTGGGTGGTTTTATAAACTGTACTGACATAAAGGACGTGTGGCATGTATTAGTTTGCTAGCATTGCCAAAACAAAATGCCTCAGACTGGGTGCTTTAACAAATAAGAATTCACTGTCTCACAGTTCTGTAGCCTGTTGTGTCCAAGACCTGGCTGTTGGTAGAGTTGGTCTCTTCCAAGGCCTCTCTCGGGGATGCCAGATGGCTGCTTTCATGCTGTGTCCTCAAGCCGGCTCTCCTCTAAGCATGTCTGTCCTAATCCCTCCTTTCTACAAGGGCACCTGTTGTTGGATGGAGACGTTCTAGTCGTCTCATGGTTGTCTCATTATCTCTTTGAGCACCAATCTCCACATACAGTCACGAGCTGACTTCCTGAGGTTAGGATCTCAACACACGAATATGGGGGAACACAACTCAACACATAACAAACACAAATGACAAGTAATAGTGAAATCCACAATATTTCTTAGTATAATTCCACATATAGCCAATTGATCTTCATAGAATCCTTGACTGACTCTTTTTTTCCCCCTCCAAACTCTTGCATCCATAGCCAATCTACGGTTTTCGTTGACCAAAAAGGATTATCCTGACATGAATATTGGTTGGTATTTCTGTTCATCTTAGTGAGTCATATGAACGTGAAATAAGAAAGCTGTGTGTCAAAACTGCACTCATGAGCTGGGGTTGTGGCTCAAGCAGTAGCACACTCGCCTGGCATGCGCGGGGCGCTGAGTTCGATCCTCAGCACCACATTAAAAAAATAAAATAAAATAAAGATGTTGTGTCCGCCAAAAACTAAAAAATAAATTTAAAAAAAAATGCACTCATGTGTCCGAGATGTGCTGAATTAGATGATGGGCTGAGTGTTAAAGAATATTGCCTCACCTTTCTGTGATGTTGATGGGAGGGCTCAATGCTCTACACATCTTTAAGTCAATCTGCCTTCCTAACCATGCCTCCATCAATTTCTTAAATGGAGACAATCAATGAAACAAGAAAGTAAACTCTAACTTGTAGCACTTACTGACCTCTATGGTGAAGATACTCCCTCCATGACTGATTCTACCTCCCAACACGATGTCCTGACCGTGGAGACAGAAGGCCACGAGCAGCAGTGTAGCAGCAATTCCCACCATTCAGACACAAGCAATGTGAGTACCTTCAAAAGAACTGATGACAGAGGGCTGGGGATGTGGCCCAGAGGTACAGCACTTGCACAGCATGAGTGAGGCCCTGGGTTCATCCCCAGCTCCCCCCTCCACTCACACACACACATAATAATAAAATGTAGTCCAATAACCAGAGAGTGATGGACATTGATCACTTTTTACTTTTGTTCTGAACAACCTAATTGTGAATTTACATGATTTAACCCTTAAAAACAACGGTTCAACAACCAGCTTGACCATTTAGCAGTTGACTCTGGCAAGCCAGCCAGATGGGCTGTCGCATACTGCTGGACCTAGAAGTTGAAAGTTTTTAAAAGCTGCTATAGATTTCCAGAATGAGGGACACACCGCCCAGCCATTTCACAGGTGAGGAAACTCGTGGAGCAAACTGACAGGGCTTGGGTGCAGTCACAGCTTAGCACAGTTCATAGGACTTGAGGGCGCCACCTCCAGTCACTAAAGCTTGATTCATTTACAAGAAACAATGGGAAAAGGGACCAAGTACCTTGGGAAAGTTCTAGAGGTCAGATAGAGAAAAGGAATGAGGAAGAAGGCCGGTCAGCAAGGCAGGATGTCCCAGAGGGCACAGTCCCCGGCATGGAAAGAGATGAAGGTCAAGAAAAAGGAGGCAGCTAACACTACACTGGTCAGAGAGAAAGACAACTGAGAAGTCGGTCAGCAGGGAGGACGCCAGGGTTCTTGAGCTTGTGAGACTCTGGCCTCAGCCTCCAGAATAGCTGGAAATACAAGGGTGCCCAGTTGGATTTGGGGCATTTGAACCAACTTTATCAAAGATGCAGTTTCTATATGTGATAAGACATTTCTGTGGATTATGGAGTTTAAAACAACAAAGTCAAAGAGGAAGACAACTGAGAACTAAAGAGACCAGAACGTTCTCCCAAGGGCTCAACAGTAAACAGATATTAAATAAGACCACCAGATCCCATGGGGCACACAAGAGTATTTGGGGCATTTCTTTCCCATTTAAGATGGTAAACCTGTGTCTGCTAAAAAGCAAATGGGAGGCGTAGTGGAAAGGAAGACACACAGCCTCGTTTTAGAAATGTAGGATGAGTCTTCTGTCTACCCCTGAGACCATCCTCTCTGCTCAGACTGAGTCTCTAGACTTCAGTCTTCTGCTCTAGAGCAGCCACGACTCCAGTTGCCCTCTGCAAGACCAAACATCCCTGCATGTAGTCCACGGGCCTTCTTTCCACCGTACTCCTCAGCACCCACTCGTTACCCAGAATCAACACCAGTTACCATCTCTGCACCACTGGGAATGATGTTTTTAAATGTAATTATGCGATATTTAATACATTTAGTGGGTGGGGTTGTGGTTCAGTGGTAGAGCGTGTACTTTGCACGTGTGAGGGAGGCACTGGGTTTGAGCCTCAGCACCACATAAAAAAAATAAATAAAATAAAGATATTGTGTTTAGAAAATTTTTAAAAATATTTAAAAGGCATAAAAAAAACCCAGACATCTATATTCTTATCATTTATCTTAAAACAAAACTTGACTACTCATTTGAAATCTCATATGCACCCCATGTATCTCCACCCTTACCACCCCTCCAGACCTGCCTCGGGACTGAATTTGGAAGTTGGTCTCATGTTTTCCTTAACATTTATACTACGGACACCCAGCCACACAGAGCCTTCATTTGCATTAGTTTAAACTTATATACTGTATATAATCTTCTGCAACTTGTTTTCTTCCTTCTTGATGTTATTTCTGTGTATCCGTGGGCTGATACATATACCTCTCATCCCTTTTTGCTGCTGGATCTTTTGTTTTTGGTTATTTCAGGCAAGGATGGAAAGTAGGCTCTGAATCGGGGGCTCTGGAATCTGACGACTGTGGGCTGTCATAATGTGGGCTCAAGGCCTGTCTCTACCCCTTGCTTCAAGTCAGATCGTTGACATCTCTGTGGCTTGGTTTCCTCATTTATAAGTCAATGCTAATAATTCTCTCCCCCTCCTTAAGGGGGGTTTTGGGGACTAAAAGGGGCAACTGCACAGGGAGCAGAAGGGGGTCTGCTCCGTCCAAGTGCTCACTAACTAGTTCTCTTCCCTCCACATGCCTGTCAGGAAAACCATGCTGAGAACCAAGGTCAGAAACACACGCTGTGCTCAAAAAATATCAGGCAAAATGTCAGAGCGACGATGCCAAGTATTTTCTGGTACATTAGAATGAAAATCGGTTAAAACAACTATAGATAGATGTGTTCATCTATTAGCATAAATTAACAGTCACCTAGGCTACTGATGTTTGTCATTCAATTCTCTCAACCACTTATCTTGGGCAATTTTTTTAACTAAAAAAAAAAATAGTTTTCACATATCAGGCTCCCACAGATGGAACATGGTTGGTGTATGAGGAGCGTAACTTGTGACTGTGACTAATGATGACAATATGTGCCACCACCTTGTCACCAGAAATCTGAGCCAGCCATCGCACCTTCTGGGTTCTCTTGGCTGGCTTATTTGGCCGGTGTTTGTCACAATGTTCCCTATCAATATCACCAAGTGTTGTAGCAAAACATGATCAATTCCAAAATGAGACTTGAAGAATGGCTACTGGACTTAATTGGGTTTATATTTTATCACCATTTCATTGGATACCAGGACATCTGAACACTATAGAATAGCAACTGTTTCAAATCATGTGTGATTTTGAGTTACCCTACATTCTATCAAAATGCTTTTCCTTATGATATATATTATGCTACTAAGTGGTTTTCAATACAAAATAAACTAGTTGTGAATTCTCCATGGAAGTGGAAATTGCTATGTTGGTTTATCTGGCTCTAGAAAGAGGGAGTTTTTACATTTTTCTTTGTTAGTGGTTTTCATCAGCCACAGGGAATCTTGCTCCTGGGACAGAGTTTTATCCCACTAAAAATGAATCCGATTTCCTGACCCTTTAGCTGCAAGAATAACTTTGGGAAACATACACAGAAAAAAGAAAAACCAAAACACAAATTGTAGCTGCTCGAAGTCCATACATATCACATGCAAAGAGGCCGGGCTATAAATTCACTTCTGGCCCAAGGTCAGCGCATATTTCAACACACTCATTAGAATCTAGTATCAAGGGCATACATAATGAACAAGAACTTTTTCCCTAAATAACAAAGCAACTCATTATCTACAGCAGACTAAACATCTAGAAAAAGAAATAAACCAAGCTATGCCTTGGGACAGTAAAATGTTATCAACTTCAATAATAGTAATCAGTACCACAGTTTATAAGCAATTCTCTTCTCATTTGAAGTTGGTTCTCCTGAGAGTTCTCTGATGAGACAGGCAACCGAGCTTTCTGCAATAAAGTCTCCTCCCTCTTTGATTCCTGGTGCCATTTGTAAGCTAAGCCTCTCTTCACTTCTTTATTTGGTCCTGTGTTTTTCATTCTTACGAGTTTGTTTACCATCCTTCTAGCACAAACCTCAGACTGCCCTGCGTCCACCTCCCCAATGGTCCAGGGAAGCCTACTTACTTCTCAGAGCGTATTCTTTGGGCTTCACTGAATTCAAATCAGAAAGGAATTCATCAGTATCTTGCATGCACTTGAGAGAAATGTTTCTTGCAGAAAAAACAAATGATAATTGAAAAGAGAGCAGGCAAAATAGTAAAGTTGAAGCCATTATGATCTCTCAACCCGTCAGGATAAACCTTCCTTCTTAGACAAAGAGCCTTATATTTAGGAAGCACTTCTCTACGATGTGTTGGGGATAAATGTGACATTGCTCGCTCCTTAACAAGCAAAGAGACAAACCCGTCTCTTCAGCCACCTGCAGAGATGAACAAACCATGGAAACCAATTTATATACAACTTGTTATTGTTGAGTAAAATAACTGCTACGCATGTGGGCACCGCCGACCACCTGGCTTCCTTTAGTTATGCAGATTAACCTTTCCAGCTAACGTGGATAAGGCTTGATTTTCTCCAGTTAGATGATGTGGTGTATCTCTCTGGGTTTAAAAATATACCAATGACGTTAAGTGGCAATATTTGGGTTTTGCCCAGGAACAATGATTAAATCCAACCTATGACATGTTTGGACAGATGATAAGCAGAGAAGGGCTTTTCTGTGATCCGGATAGATCATGCATCTGTTGATGGCTCTGCTGGACTTTGAAAGTGGTGTCAGCCCTGGAGTGACGCACTCCGCCACAGGAAGGAGAAGCGATCGCAATAGGACAGATGGACACACATCCACACAAGCAGATTTAGAGCACACATCCTGGGAAGGAAGTGTTGCTGACGAAAGACGGGGTACCTGTGTCCACCAGCTTCAAGGAAACATAGAAAGTGTCAATTGGGATTTCTCTTGATGTAAATATTCGTTCCAGAAAGGCTTTCTTTAAATAGCAACCTCTAGATCTCCATTTAAAAGGTGACGCAGTGTCTGGGAATCTTGTTGACAGTGCTGGTTATACATCTGCTCATGGGGGCGGTTGCGACTTGGTGCCACTTCCTGCTGCCTGTGGGTTTCAGAGCGTCTTCCAGCATCCCAAGCCACTGCCTCTCTCCTGGCATGTGCTCTGCCTCTCCTCTTGGTTCTTGTTCCTACTACGCTCCTGTCCAGCATTCCCTTCTCTGTCTATCCTCATCTGGAGCCGTATCATCCATTCCTATTTATTCTCAGTAGGCGTTGACTCCTCTGGCACATCCTCCCTGCAGGGAACAGGCAGGGGAACAGCCTGGCTGAGTACTCCTGGCTTAAGTACTGCCTGGCTGAGTACTCC